TTGAGCATCAATCTGAAATGTTTTAACAGGTGAGTTAAATGTAAATATTCATTTACATTCTGTATACTCTGTATAAATTATATATTTGTTCTCAACTCTATCACAGTATGTTTTATTTACTGCGTTTTCCATAGTTCATCTCTTTGTGTCATATATTTCTCGACCATTTTGTTCTTTTGGTATTGAGGAAGTTCGGGTATTTTGTTTTAGTGGTTATCTTTATGTTAACACACTTTATAATGTCCTTAATTCCCCCATTTCCTCATTTAGGCTACTACTATATGATTCATTGGTTTTAAATGATATCCTTTGACCCCCATCTCAAGCTATTACGGAAGGAAAGGGACTTGCTTTCTGGTGCCACTGCATTTGCTGGCTGGCTTCTGCAGCACTCCCGTCTCCTTGGTTGCCCGTGTCCTGGAGCACCAGACAGTTTAGTAAAGTATCCAGTGGCCAGCAGCTCCGCCTCCACCACCTTCTCCCATCTTAAATGGTTTTGTAAGAGTTTCTACAGAGATACACACCTCTCCATGAACAGTCTTTTCCGCACCATAGAAGGTGAATTTCTAGCAAGTTCCACTGCTGTGGCACTAGTGATTTCTCTCACCCAGTGAGCAACTGCGCCCCCGCCAACACAGCTTACATCTCAGGCCTGAGATGGGGGAAGGGAGGCTCTTCCTTGGGCTGTCTATCTCGGCCCCAGTGTAGTGGCTTCTCCTTATGTCTGCTCTTCATATATTCCTTAGAGTTCTCTGCCTTTTGACTAGCCAATCCCTCACTCCAACTCTGTTAGAATTAACAATTTCATTAAACTTTCTGTGTTCCTTCTTCACTGGACCCAGACTATTCTACTAATACCATACTATTCTACTCTTGTCCCTACCTTTGTTTTTCTTAGATATATCATCTGTTACTTGGATGAAGCTCTTTCCATAACTGATTTAGGAAGCAGTTGGGGGTCACAATATTTCCCGTGTTCTTGCAGGTTGAAAACTCTTTCAGTGTAATCTCAGCACTTGAAAATACAATTTATCTAGATATAAATCTGTCTTTTCATTTTCTTTCCTCAAATTTCTTAATAATGCTCCTCTGTTTATAGTCTTGCTTTGCATTTTGCTGTTGAAAAGTATGATGTAAACCTGACTTTCTTTGCCTTGAAAATAATTTGGCTGTTTTGCTGGAGGCTTAGATGAATTTTTCTTTATTCACAGCGTATAATTGTTTTACTAGAAAAGGTCTTAGAGTTGACAATTTTCCAGGAATAAGGAAGGCTTTTTCAGTATGAAGGTTCAGGTGCTTTCCCATTTTTGGAACATTTTCTTACATTACAATTTTAAGTATTAATCCTATTATCTGCTTCAGGGAATCCAAATATACATGTACACATACATATGCCCAGAAGACCTTTTTGACTACATACTATATCTAACAGTTCCTTTCTGATACTTTTAAACCTTTTCTTCTAACATTTAGTTTTATTGTCTTGACTGTTTTATTTCTTTTTTCAATGTCTCTTATTATATTTTCAGTTGAATATATTGTCCCAATGGGTACCTTGGAATGGAGTCTTCAATTGAGATTATTTTTCTTTCTTCACATTTTTCCTTTGAGTTTGCACAATTCTATTTTCACATCTTCCTATTTACTGTGCATTTCTAGTCTATTTACTGTGCATTTCTAGTCTGACTTAAAATTTATGGTTCAAGGTATTATTTTTTATAGCTGTCAATACTTATTTAATTCAAGATGGGTCATTGTGCAACAGTTTTCCTCTGATTAGTCACTGATTTTTGGCTTAGAATTTTCAGTAGTTAAAATGGTTTTATCTTCTACTTCTGTTTTTCTTCATGTAGAAGTTTTTTTTTTTTCATGTAGAATTTTTTTATGGATGTTGACTGCTGTTTCCTAATGATTTCAAATGTCTTATATTTTCTTGGGCTAGCAAAAAAAAGGATGTTCCATTTTGTTAGGGAATTTGGGTCATGAGTTTTCTGTTGGCATAATGAAATGCGGCTTCTTTGGTGAAGCCTGTTTGGAATGTGGTGGGATAGGAAGACCTGAATGTCTTCGGATTTTACGATTCTCTTTGTTCCTGTATAACTCTAAATGATTACCCATGGCTTCCTTCTTCTCCGTCAACATTATGTTTACCTCTCCCATGAGGGCAGTTATCAGCCCACGGCTGCTCTCTCTGGTCCCTCACACTTTTAATTCATTCTCTTTCTTCTGATTCTCCAGTAGACAATGCTCTAATCAAGTATCTCTTAGTTGTCTTTCAGTATTGCCCACTCTGAATGGGCCTATCTTTTTGGGGGGTGATTTTGGCCGTGCTGGGGTCCCATTGCCCTCTGCCTTTTTAATGTAGCTTTTATCTACATAAAGCTCTTCATTCTGGTATGGGGTGGGTATTAGCTTTATTGGTTTCAGATCTTTACATCTGAACATGCAGACAGCATGTTATTGAAATGTGTGGTATTCTTGACTCCTAGTTATGTTTAGGCATGAGTTATGGGTGGCTTGATTTGCTTTCCTTTTTGATCCTTATGTTTCTGGAGAATTTATGGAAAAATTTTGATGTAGATGGTCACCATTATCCCTGGGAACTTATATTTTGTAACAACCTTTCAAGATGCTTCTAAACCATGGTTCATAAAATCAGTTGAGAACCTTATGGTACTATGCAGCTACAGAAAGGAATGAGAAACATCTCAATACTAAGAAGTCATTTTCAGGACATATTGCTAAATGAAAAAAGTAAGATTGAGAAAAATATGTATAGTATGTTGTCATTTATATAAGAAGGGAATACATATGCTATATATGTACACACACACTCACAGATATATTTGCTTATTTTTAAAAAATGGAGTATGAACTATTAAGTTAAAAGAAAGTGGTTACTCTATGGCAGAAGAAAGGGATAAGGTAAAGGGCATTTCTCTGAATATACTGTTTTATAGATTTCAAGAATGGTTTATATACATACGAGGCCAAAGATAGAACAATTCAAGAATCAACAAGGATAATCAGTGCAACGGAGTGAAAAACATCAAATATGTATGAATCTTTGAGTTTATGATATTAAATACAACAACAGCAATAAGACTAAGTAATTTTGGAGGATAATGGCAATCCAATTTATTATTCTGAAAAGTGGTAAACAAAGAAAAGAATCAATCATTTAAACTGTCTTTCCTGTATGAACTATGCTTCAGGATAACCAAATAGTTGAAAGTTTATTTTAATAGACATAATCCATTTAATTTATGTGGACAGAATGATAATATTAAAATTTCCCATTTTGCAACCAAAATGAATTGATAGGTCTAAATCAGGGGTCAGCAAGCTACAGCCAGAAGGCTGGACAACTTGTTTTGTAAATAAAGCTTTACTGGATCACAGCCTTGCCCATTTTTTTATGTATTGTCTATGACTGCTTTCAAGTTACAAGGAAAAAGCTGACAAGTTACAACAGAGAATATATGGCCTGTAAGCCTGAAATATTTACTATCTGACTCTTCTTTAGAAAATCTGCCAACCCCTGCCCTAGACTACAAGCAGTAATGGCTGCTACATTATAAAATGAGACACAACCAGACCATATATACTTCTTAATCAATGTAAATATCACTATCTATGAAATATTCTTATTGAAAAAAACTGAACCTTAACCTGATCAAGCCTCTAGATCTAGTTACCAATTTCCAGGACAAGAGGTCAGAGAAACATGTTAAATGATACCAGAGAGATACAATCAGCAAAATCTAATTGTGGGAAACTTTAAAGAAAATGACTTAGGTTTTTCAACAAATAAATTGCAAGGAAAAAATAAGAGAGGAGGAGAACCCATAGATTAAAAGATACTTGAGGAACATATCACCCAACTGCAATATGTTGATTTTTTTTGGATCCTGATTCAAAAAAAATGAAATAAAGAGAGGAAGAGACAGACAGACAGACAATAGGGAAAACTTAAATACTGAGTAAATATTTGTTGATATTAAGGAAGTATCATTATTTTATTCACATGTGACAGTGTTATTATGGCTATGCTTTTAAAATATTAACTATGAGAGAGATACATAATGAATATTTAGTGATAAAATGATACTATGTTTAAGCAACGGCAGGAGTGTGCAGGGAATGTATATAGGTACTAAGAAAACAAGACTACTATCAAGGATAAAAGATACATGGACTTTCATTCACTGTGGTTTTTTTTTATACTTTTGTATATGTTTGAAATTTTACATTACAAGTAAATTTTTTAAAGAAGGAAAATGTTAAATAACCACTTGGGGAGGTCTTTCAAATGACACTTTCCTCTAATGCTCATTTAATTTAGCACAGCCTCCTGAGGGGAACACAGCCTATAAGCCATCTCCATCCTCCAGTAAGACTCACTGCAATAGTGACTGACGGGAATTGATGAAATGTGCTAAATCACTCAGGTATACTGACACTAAAAAAAGGTGAATCTGATCTTGAAGAGAAAAATACAGTGGTGTCATTAAAGTAAAATAATGCATTTTACTTAATAATTGATTCAAAGTGAGAAAATTCCAAAGACCAAGTGAGAATTTAGGGGAAAGGAGATAAGGGATCTTTATAATAGTCATTCTTTCTAATGGGAGATTTTTCTCTCACTGCCTGTTGTGATTGTAGGATTTGGTAAAAGAGCCATGGTTTTTTGAGGCAAGTTCAATGGCAAGACCTTTTTTCATCCTTTTCCTCAGGGTAAATGGGACCTGACAAAGAAGGATGAAGGGTGTGGTTTCTCATTAGAAAAAGGAGAGCTGAAGAGAAGCTTGGATATCACAAGCTAATGTAGAATGGGGAGGTCCAGATTTTACAGCTCATTTCATGTTAGCTGGGCCTTTTTGGACCATACAAAAAAGAAGGCATGGGCAGGTGACCCTATGTTTTCTTCTAATATGACGTATAATTTGAGGAAGATAACTAATGGGCTAGGGAGAGCTTGGGTCCCCCATTCTACTCACCCAGAGGGGGCTGCAGCATACCCCCATTCTTCTCACAGTTCCCGATAGGCTGAATTTCAGCTGAGTCAACCAGCCGCCAGAAGTCATTCTTGTTGTCGCTGCCATCAAGGCGAAGGCGGAGGCGAGCACCTGTCAGTCCAACTACTGTGGCAATACAGGTAGATGTGGTGTTCCTGGGGTCCTGTGCTTCCAATTTCATGCTGATCTTGAACTCGTTGCTTGGAGGTGTGTAGGACTGAGGAGAACAAGCCATGGGGATTAGGCAGACTAAGAATACGTGGCATTTTCAGTAAGGATATTAGGCGATGGTACCTGAAAATTTATACTTTGGATGAAAACTGATTACAGCTGAGTCAGGGACAACCCTTGTGAATTATTTCCTAATACCTAGGAAGGCTCTCATGAAAAAGAAACACTGAAATGTAAAGTGAAGGGGAAAAATTACTTTCCAGTGAAGCATCAAATACTGACTCACCAGTAAGAAAAGGATAAGAGTATCTCAAATGGTCCTTGCCTAAATGCGGTTTTTTATCCTATTTTCTCCAATTCCCTAACCCTCCAGGTATTCTTAATATTTTCTTTGCAGAAATCATCCTATTAAAATATCATATCCTTACTGTTTCTTCATGGAGTGCTTCAGTATGTCTACCATACAGACTAACCAACGGGAATAGGTTATTTTTTTTACTTTGACATTAACGTAGAAATCAATTCCTGTTTTTTAAAAAAACAACTTCAAGTTATAATTGACATACAATGAACTACACACTTAGGTTGAGTACTGACATATGTATACACTCATGATACCACATACATCACAACACTCTGGAAACCATCATCACTATCAAGATAATGAACATGGACATACTCCCAAGTTTTGCATATCCCTTTATGATCTGTCCAGCCCTTCCCAGATCTCTCTCTCTCCAGGCAAACACTGCTTTACTTTCTATCAGTGTAGACTGTTTTGCATTTCTAGACTTAAAATGGACTCATACAGAATATACTTTTTTTTTTTTGGATCTTTCACTCAGCATAACCATTTTGATATTCATCCATTTGTTGAATGTATCAATAATTCATTTCTTTTTTGTTAAGACTCAGTTCTAAGAGCAGTTTTAGGTTCACAGCAAAACTGAGAGGAAGGTACAGAGATTATAAACATTTATAAACATCCTGCTCCAACACATGCAGTGTCTCCTCTATTTTCAGTATCTCCTAACACAGTAGGACATTTATTACAACTGATGAAACTACACTAACATATCATAATAACACAAAGCCCATTATTTAGAGTAAGGTTCTCTCTTGGTGTTGTATACTCTATGAATTTGGTCTAATGGAGACATGTATCTATCATTATAGGATCATACAAAATAGTTTAACTGTACTAAAAAATCCTCTGTACTTGGCCTATTCATCCACTCAATCTCTGGCAACCACTGATCTTTTAACTGTCTCCATAGTTTTGCCTTTTCCAGAATGTCATATAGTTTGACACACAGTACACAGTTTTTCAGATTGGCTTTTTTCTCGTAGTAAGATGCATTTAAGTTTCCTCTATGTCTTTTCATGGCTTCACAGCTCATTTCTTTCTAGGGCTGAGTAATACTCCATTGTCTGGCTATACTACAGTTTGTTTATCCACTCACCTACTTAAAAAACATCTTGGTTGCTTCCAGGTTTTGGTGATTATGAATAAAGATGCAACAAAATCCATACACACACACACATACACACACATATAAATACACACAAACACATGTTTTTGTGTGGACATAAATTTTCAACTTCTTTGGATAAATATCAAGGAATGCAACTGATGGATCATATGGTTAAGAGTATGCTTAGTTTACAAGAGATTTCACCAAACTACCTTATAAGATGTCTGTACCATTTTGCATTCCCACAAGCAATTAATGAGAACTGCTGTTGCTCCACATCCTTGCCAGTACTTGGTGTTATCAGTGTCCTGGGATTTGACATTATAATATGTATGTAGTGGTATCTCACTGTTGTTTTAATTTGCATTTCTCTGATAATATATAATGTAGAACATCGTTTTTATGCTTGTCATCCGACCATCTTTGGTGAGATGTCTGTTAAGATCTTTGATCTTTTCTTGAGTTATTTTCTTACTTTAAGTATTCTTTGTATATTTTGGGTGACAATCCTTTGTCAGACACGTCTTGTAAAAATATTTTCTCCCAGTCTGTGGCTTGTCTTCTCATTCTCTTGACAGTGTCTTTCATATAGTAGAAGGTTTTATTTTAATGAAGTTCAGCTTATCAATTATTTCTCTCATGAACTGTGCCTTTGGTTTGCACCTAAAAAATCATTGCCACACCTAAGGTCATCTTCAGTTCAGTTCAGTCACTCAGTCGTGTCTGACTCTTTGTGACCCCATGAACTGCAGCACGCCAGACCTCCCTGTCCATCACGCTAGCCTCCCTGTCCATCACCAACTCCTGAAGTTTACCCAAACTCATGTTCATTGAGTCGGTGATGCCATCCAACCATCTCATCCTCTGTCGTCTCCTTCTCCTCCTGCCTTCAATCTTTTCCAGCATCAGGGTCTTTTCAAATGAGTCAGTTCTTTGCATCAGGTGGCCAAAGTATTGGAGTTTCAGCTTCAGCATCAGTCCTTCCAATGAATATTCAGGACTGATCTCCTTTAGGATGGACTGGGTGGATCTCCATGTAGTCCAAGGGACTCTCAAGAGTCTTCTCCAACACCAGAGTTCAAAAGCATCAGTTCTTCAGCACTCAGTTTTCCTTATAGCCCAAATCTCACATCCATACATGACCACTAGAAAAACCATAGCCTTAACTAGACGGACCTTTGTTGGCAAAGTAATGTCTTTGCTTTTTAATATGCTGTCTAGGTTGGTCATAACTTTTTTTCCAAGGAGTAAGCGTCTTTTAATTTCATGATTGCAGTCACCATCTGCAGTGATTTTGGAAAAAATAAAGTCTGTTTCCCCATCTATTTGCCATGAAGTGATGGGACCAGATGCCATGATCTTAGTTTTCTAAATGTTGAGCTTTAAGCCAACTTTTTCACTCTCCTCTTTCACTTACATCAAGAGACTCTTTAGTTCTTCATTTTCTGCCATAAGGGTGGTGTCATCTGCTATCTGGGGTTATTGATATTTCTCCCGGCAATCTTGATTCCGGCTTATGATTCATCCACCCCAGCATTTCTCATGATGTACTCTGCATATAAGTTAAATAAGCAGGGTGACAATATACAGCCTTGATGCACTCCTTTCCCTATTTGGAACCGGTATATTGTTCCATGTCCAGTTCTAACTGTTGCTTCCTGACCTACAGATTTCTCAAGAGGCAGGTCAGGTGGTCTGGTATTCCCATCTCTTTCAGAATTTTCTACAGTTTGTGGTGACCCACACAGTCAAAGACTTGGCGTAGTCAATAAAGCAGAAATAGATGTTTTTCTGGAACTCTCTTGCTTTTTTGATGATCCAGCAGATGTTGGCAATTTGATCTCTGGTTCCTTTGCCTCTTCTAAATCCAGCTTGAACATCTGGAAGTTCATGGTTCATGTACTGTTAAAGCCTGGCTTGGAGAATTTTGAGCATTACTTTACTGGCGTGTGAGATGAGTGCAATTGTGCAGTAGTTTGAGCATTCTTTGGCATTGCCTTTTTTTGGGACTGCAATGAAAACTGACCTTTTCCATCTTAGTCTTCTCCTATGCTATCTTCTAGGAGTTTAAGTTTAGTGTTTTACAGTTAGGTGTGTGGTCTGTTTTGAATTAATTTTTTTGAAGGGTGTTAAGATCTGTATCTATCATCTTTTGATTCATGTAAGGACTGTGTGACCTTTTTCATGATGAAATTACTGTATTGTTATCTGATAATATCCTTTGCCTCTGAAATATATTTTGATATTAATATGTCATTTCAGCTTTATTATAATTTATGATTCTTTTACTTTTAACCTGTTTTTATCTTTACATTTAAAGTATAATTCCTTGCAGGCAGTATATAATTGAGTCTTACTTTTTATCCAATATGACAATCTCAGCTTTTTAACTGAGGAATTTAGATAATTTACAACTGGATTATTGATACGGCTGGATTTAAACCTACCATTCTGCTATTTGTTTTCTATTATTTCAGTGGTTGCTTTGGGGCTTAAACATATTTAAATTATCAGTCTATCTTCGAGTAATACTACACTACTTCATGTATAAGAATTTTATAATAGTCTACTTAAATTTCTCCCCCTTAAGTTATTGTTATTATATATTTTACTAATACATGTTATTATCTCTATAATACAATTATCATCATTATTTTATAGTCAATTATCTTTTATAGAGGCTTAATAAGAAATAACATTTTAAATATTTACCCTTGTAATTATCATTTCTAGTAACTTTCATTCCTTTGTGTAGATCTGTATTCTATTTGGTAACATTTTCCTTCTGCATGATGGTCTTTGTTTAACATTTGTAAGAGTGAGTGTACTAGTGATGAATTCCTTCAGTTTTTATGCATTTGAAAATATCTCTATTTTCCCCTCATTTTGGAAGATCTTTTTGCTGGATATAAGATTCATGGTTGACAGTTTTGATACTCTGAAGATGTTATTTAACTTTCTTCTTGTTTGCATTATGACAAGAAAATATAATGTCATTCTTATCTTAGTTTCCCTGCACATAAAGTGTCTTTTTTCCTCTGGCTGCTTGAAGATGTTCTCTATCACTAGTTTTGATAACTTATGACATGCCTTAGTATAATTTTATTCTTGTCTTTTTTTTAGGAGATTCATTTAGCTTTCTGAATTTGCAGATTTTTAGGTTTCCTCAACTGTGAACAATTTTTTGTCATTTTATCTTCGAATGCTTTTCCAGTCCTCCATCTCTTTTCTTTTGGGTGGTCTAATTACATGGTCTATGAAGTTATCCCATGCTTCACTGATCTCTTTTTCATATTTTTAAAATACTTTTTTTTCTGTGTGTTTCATTTTAGGTATCTTCTACTGCTATGTTTTCATATTTATTAATCTTTTCTTCCACCATTAATCCCATCTAGTGTATTTTTCATTTTGCTCAATATGTCTTTTTTTATATACTTCATGTCTCTGCTTAACTTTCAAACATATAGAACATAATTAAAATAACTGTTATAATGTTTTAATCTGCTATTCTAAGATCTGCAAAGGTTCTAAGTCTGTTTCAATTGGTTGATTAGTCTGTTCATTATTAGTTATGCTTTCCTGCCTCCTTATATATAGCCTGATAATATTTGACTAGATGCCAGACATTGTGACTTTTACCTGTTAGGTGCTGGATATTTTTGCATTCCCTTCTTGTGCTGTGTTCCCAGATGAAGTTAATTTACTTGGAAATAATTTAATCACATTGTTGCTGCTGCTGCTGCTAAGCCGCTTTAGTCGTGTCCGACTCTGTGTGACCCCATAGACGGCAGCCCACCAGGCTCCCCTGTCCCTGGGATTCTCCAGGCAAGAACACTGGAGTGGGTTGCCATTTCCTTCTCCAATGCATGAAAGTGAAAAGTGAAAGTGAAGTCACTCAGTTGTGTCCGACTCTTAGCGACCCCATGGACTGCAGCCCACCACGTTCCTTTGTCCATGGGATTTTCCAGGCAAGAGTACTGGAGTGGGTTGCCATTGCCTTCTCCGTAATCACACTAAGTCTAGCTTTTTAGTTTGTTAGGCAGATTCAAAGCATGCTTATCCTAAGGCTAATCATTTCCCACTACTGAGCAGGATTTTCCCAACTATTCCACATGAATTAGATTTTCCAGTCTAGCTGGTGGTATAAGGCACTATTCCCAGTCTTGTGTGAGCACTAGGCTCTATCCTTTTACTATCCTTCTAATCCTTTCAGACAGTGTTTCCCTTGGCTTCGGATGCTCACATGCATATACTGAGCAACAGTACTTGGATGAGTACTTGAAGCGGGCTCTCTGCAGCGCTCTCTTCTCTGAAACTCTGCCCTGCAAATTCCATCCCTGGGTTCTCAGTTCCATCCCCCTAATTTGACAGGGAGTCTCTCAGGCTCAGTCTGGGTTCTCCTTCCCTGGGCCATGGTTTCAAACTATTGTAAAGCAGTAAATCATAAGAAGCTCAACTCATTTGTTTTTTCCTCTCTCAGAGATCACTGTTCTTGGCTGCCTGATCCTCAGTAACTTGAAAACCATTATTTAATATATTTTGTCTTTTAAAATTATTTCAGGTGGAAATATGAATTTAGTTCCTATTAAGCAAAGTCCTATTTTGTACTTTTATTTAGAGCATAGACAAAACTCAAACTCAAAGTGAAATGTTGACAGTTTGTGAAAATAACAATTGAATACTAAAAAGGAGGGAGATATAAACCGTTTCCTGATGTGCAGCTCTATTTAGCAGCAGTACACTTCTCTGCTTACTAGACTTATCATGTACTGACAGTCAACATCATCTGTGCATTGTATGGGGAACTTAATCCTATGTGGGAAGCTCTAAATGATCTCCAATGAACTCCTAACACACTCCCCAATGGGATTCAGTGCCAACATTTTTATGGAAAGATAAGATTGTAGCAGGGGAGCTGAATTCAGAGATATGAATACTGCTCTACTTTCAAGAGTTGTCTAAGGGCTATAACTCTGTTTCCTATCTGCCTGAACTAAGAGCTGTAGTGAAAATTAGCAACTGTTTTCAGTAACACAGAGTATCTTCAAGGAGGTGAAGAAGGAAAAGGTGTTGGGAAATTGGGGAGAATGTTTAAAACTCACAGCTGAGTTTTGAGTCTTGAAGTTGTATTCTTCCCATAGAAGTTTATTCTGGGGACTTCAGGTGAGAAGCCCAAGGGCTCCCACTTCATGTTTTGCTTGTCTAAGGACCAGAAAAAACTACTTGCCTCCCACCTTCTAAAGATGCTGAGAATCAATTACCTGCTTGAAGCAATGGACAGGCGCTGGGACTGAACATGTTTCTTTTAGGTATTTGTCCCAGGTAAAATGACCTGTAAAGGAAATAAAAATCTCTATCACAGTCAACTTCCTAAAAATTCTTTCAGGATGTAATCTACCCTAAACATTAGGCTATTTTCAGACTTGTTTGGAGCATAAGAAAACTTACATGGCCCTGTTTGCACTCAAAGGAGTATATTAGGAGGAAGAATCAAGGTGATCTGAGTGGATCATTTTAGATCAATGTTTTTTGAATCACCGTCTAAGATGACCTAAGGAATCTTTCACGCCAGTCTCTAAAATGATCCAAAATGCTACAGCAAGTCATACCAGTGTCTCAAAGAAGTATTCAGGAAGCTCATGGAAAACAGAACAGAAGAGGCACAAAGTGGATGGGAAGATTCCTTCTGAACAATCTGACTACTGTAAAGGTCCCTTATTGCCATCAAATAAGTACTTTTAACATCCAGTGTGGCAGAATCCCACCATCTCAGCTCAGAAAGAAAAAAGAGGCTATCTTGAGACCCTGAGTAAGAGGAGTTGTTGGGGGCAGGAAAAGCCAGAATGAGATTATACTTGAATCTCACTCTAAAAGATGTTTCTCTCTCACCCACCTCAACCCACTCCTATCCTGGGCACTGTTGCATTGCTCTGAGGTGCAAAATGACCAAGGTCTGTTAATTTAGAGAAAAGTAGATCCTCAGTAGCATTTCTGATGACAGCAGCTAAGAATAAGTTGGCAAATTTACAGAATCTTTTTAGCCTCTTGAAGTGGCCCTTAAAGTCTCTCAAAGTTTGAGGAACACTATGCTAGAGAAATAATCTTTAAGGTGACACTGACCTGGGGTCAGGGAAAACATTTTAAAGGATGGGTTATTAAACACATATCTTACTGAACCACAAAAGATTACCAGGTTCTTTATTAAAGGTTAAATCAATTACAAATATCCCCCTAATACCCACCTAGAGGTGACCCCATGATGGAGCAGGTAAGGTCCCAGAGATTCTCACAAGCTAAAACACTGTAGCAAACCAGCATTTCCTGAGGTTTCCTCTGCAGTGGAGCAGCACAGGGCCCCTTTGGGCCATGAAAAAAGCACTAAATGCTGGGAATAAAAATGAGTCACGGAATGATGAAATCTAAGTGACTCCAAAGACGATGCCAAGACTTTATACTCTATTGACTCTATAGCTTCTGTTTTAAAACTGGTTCCTTTCCCACCATCCTAACCAAGCCAAATAGATTTGGCTAGAAATCACAGTCAGTTCTGAACTATTTAATGAGCTGGCCAATAACTGTGTGTGTGCATGCTAAGTTGCTTTAGTCCTGTCGGACTCTCTGTAACCCTATGGACTGGTGCCTGCCAGGCTCCTCTGTCCATGGGATTCTCCAGCAAGAATACTGAAGTGGGTTGCCATGCCCTCTTTCAGGGAATCTTCCTGACCCAGGGATCGAACCTCAGTCTCCTGCAATGGCAGGCACGTTGTTTAGCACTAGCGCCACCTGGTAGCCATCCCCTTCAGCCAATAATTAATCATTTTGAATAGACAGTCCAAGGGTAAATGCGATGAGTATTTCCTTAAGTCAAGATTTAAATAGCTTATTAGAATTTAATAAAGAGTTTGCTCTCAGCTGAGATGGCTTTTAAAGCAAAGACTTTCATCACTATTGGCTGTTAGAAAAAGAAAACATCAAGAATTATTATTCTATTCTTGCGAATAAATAAGTCAAATAGTAAGTTTTGGATCTGACGAGGCTGCAACTCTTGAACTCTAACACATACAGCAGTTCTACCCACTAAAACTTTCTCTGATAACAGAAAGTTCTGCATCCATGCTGACTAGTAAGATGGCCACTAGCTGCATGCCACTACTGAACACATGAAATGTGGCTAATATGAATGAGAAATTAAATTTTAAATGGCATTTAACTTCAATGTAAATTTAAATACCTATATGGGAATTACTGTAGAAGGCAGTATGGAAGAAGTTAGGTCAGTTCTGAGTTGCTTGTTACTATTTTGAGTTCTGACCAAAAACACCCAAGAGACTTTGGCTTTAAGATGTAATTACAGCAGCATCAGGGTACCAAAATAATCAGGGTATTGTAGTTCTCTATTACATATAACAACTATGGTAATCAATTCCTATTACATAGGTTAAGAAACCCCACATCTTCCAATTTACTATCAACTGAATGAAAAAGAACCTCTTTGTTAAAAGCAGTCCATCCACTGAGGGTTCACTAGCTTCAACCATACCTAGATTAGTATTTTTTCTTAAATTTGACTGCTTAGGCTGTTTATCATTTACTATCAATCATGTAAGCTACAAAATAAGTTAATTTTTATTGACTAAGAATATCTGAGTACCTATTATAATGCTCACAATGAAACCAAACATCAAATCTACCACACTGCCAAGCACTAAAAATACCACAAAAGATGTAGGACAGGCAACAAAGTATAGATCAGGGGTTGGCAAATTTTCTGTAAAGGACCAGACAGAAAAAATTTTACCCTTTGTAGGTCATTCAGTCTCTGTCACAAATACTCAACTTGTACATGGTAGCATGAAAACAGCCAGAGGCAATATGTAAATGAGTGAGCATAGCTGTGTTTCACTAAAACTTTATTTATAAAAACTGGCAGTGGGTTGCATTTGGCCCCTAAATAGCAGTTTGTCAAACCTTGGGATATAATATCATTCTCAAATGCTACTTACCATCAAAATATACTAAATAATTTTTCTAACTTTTTTTTACAGTTCTGAGACCATCTTCAGAGGTTCTCATTCAGTAATCTCTTGAGTGTGGTCTGAGAATCTGTATTTTCAAAGCCTTCCTAGGTAATACTGATTAACTTCCATGCCTAGAAACTAATGGTATAATTGAAAGAATGTAATATTGAGAGTCAGAAGATGGTGGTTGAAGTCTTGTTTCTATACCTAAGTATCTTGAATAAATTACTTAACCCTTCCAAGCATCAGTTCATTTATCTGAAAGACAGACATAATATCCTACAAGATTATACACATACTCCTTCATTCAATAAATATTTATTAACCTCCTTTTAAGTGCAAAAGCACAGTGTTAAATATTAGGGGAACAAGATAGACATGGTTCTGAAATTCATGGAGCCTATAGTTTAGAGATAAGCAGAAGTAGTAAATTAATAATACAAATAATCTGCCACAATTATGATAAATTTAAGTTAATGAGGTAGTGCAGATTGCCTTGAGAATGTAGAACAGGGAAATCTAATTCATACTTGGGTCAAGATTACTGTGAAGATTGACATTATTAACTAGTATAGTAGTACTTTATAATTTCTGGAGTGATTTCAATTCATTATTCAATTCATTATTCATTCAAATGATGTTTGAGTATCTCTGTATGTGCCAGGCACTTCTTCTAAATGCTAAGATAAGGCAGGAGGTCCCTGCCCTTACGGAATTTACATTCCAGTGCATAATGAGGCACAAATTAACACAAAGTCAAATAAATAAGGTAGTAAGTGATAAGTATTTGAAGGACATAAAATAATGATATGTGACAGAGACTGGGAATCATCTTAGATGGTGAAATTACAGACCGATGTTCTAGATAGGAAACATTTGGGGTGAAACCTTATAAATGAGACAAAGTCAGTCATCTCATTTACACTGCTGAATAATACTTGTGAAAGTATTTTATAAACTCTAACACACATACTACCATATGACAGTTACGTCTATTATTAGTAAATAAGATTGGCTTAAGACTCAACATTCAAAAAGCTAAGGTCATGGCATCCAGTCCCATCACTTCATGGCAAATAGGTGGAGAAACAGCTGAAACAGTGACAGACTTTATTTTCTTGGGCTCCAAAATCACCACAGATGGTGACTGCAGCCATGAAATTAAAAGATGCTTGCTCCTCAGAAGAAAAGCTATGACAAACCTAGACAGCATATTAAAAAGCAGAGACATTAGTTTGCTAACAAAGATCCACCTAGTCAAAGCTATGGCCTTTCCAGTAGTCGTGTATAAAAGTTGGACCATAAAGAAGGCTGAGTGCCAAAGAATTGATGCTTTGAACTGTGGTGTTGGAAAAGACTCTTAAGAATTCCTTGGACTGCAAGGAGATCAAACTATCCAATCCTAAAGGAAATCAATCCTGAATATTCATTGGAAGGACTGATGTTGAAGCTGAAGCTCCAATACTTTGGCCACCTGATGCGAAAAACTGACTCATTAGAAAAGACCCTGATGCTGGGAAAGATAGAAGGCAGGAGGAAAAGGGGACAACGGAGAACAAGATGGTTGGATGGCATCACCACCTCAATGGACATGAATCTGAGCAAGCTAGGGGAGAGGGTGGAGGGCAGGGAAGCCTGGTGTGCTACAGTCCATGGGGTTGCAAAGTGTCAGACACGAATGAGCGACTGAAAAACAACAAAGATCGCTGCCCTGAAGGGATTTACAAACTACATAAAGTAAAGTACAAATACTTTAAAAATTAACAGCTCCCTAAGTTGTAAAACACAAAAAGATCCACCAGCTGAACACATGAATTCCTTTCTCTAATATTCACTCATTCAACAAATATTTACCGTGCAACTATTATACGCCAAGCTCAATTCCAGGCACAGGTGATACACAGCAAAGAACAAAACAGCCAAAATCTCTGCCCACATGGAGCTTACATTCTAAGGGGGAAGAGACACAATAAATAAACAAATAAACATAATTCAGTTGATCCAGAAGGTTACAGAGAAACCACATAATAATTATAAAATTTCTGGCCCATTTCAAATAAGGAAAAAATAAGGCAAGGTAGGAGGGGGAAAGAGTGCTGAGAGTATGTATGCTATTTTAGGCAGGATGGTCAAGAAAGGCATCTTGATGAGGTGATATAAAAGCTGACACCTGAATGGTCCCTCCAGCCTCTACTTAAATAATCCCAATGATGAGAAATTTATTATTCAGCTATGATTCAATAGCACAAATGAATAGATTTTAACCATTAGAATCAGCCAAAATCTACCTTCTTCTAAATCTTTACCCATTGACATTAGACATAATATATCTAATCCCCTAAATATGTCCCAAATCCCTCAACTGCTCCTAATTTAAAATGGTTACATCAGGCACTTCCATTCATGCTGGCTACTGTTCTGTCGACATTCCTCAACAAGAACTCTATTTAGTTCCACCTAAAGTGTGGAGCCCAAATCCTTAAGAGCAATAAAGACAGTCACAGTCTACTTTGGGCCATGCTGTGCAGCATGTGGGGTCTTAGTTCCCCAACCAGGGATTGAACCTGTGTCCCTGGATTTGGGAGCTTAGAGTCTAAACCACTGGACTGCCAGGGAAGTCCATTTTATGAACTTTAAAAACCTTCACTGTTTAACCCAGTGTCTGAAACTTGAGAGAGGCACCATAAAAGTTTGAAAAGTGAGTGAATGAAAAGAAGCAAGCCAGTAATGGTCCTACTCTTTTCTGGACTAGTGAAATCACACCTGGGAAATTTATGTGAACTATTCCTTGAGAGGGACAGAACGAAGCAACACCTAAATGGTGACCTAATGATCAAGAGACACAAAACCATGTCACATGAGGACCAGCTGAAGGAAGAAGCAACATTTAGCATGAAAGTCTTAGAGCCATTTCTTTATTCATCCATCCAACAAGTATTTATAGTGTGGATCAAGGAAGTGTGCTGGAGATACAACCATGGTCAAAATATTGTCTTGCCTTCACAAAGCTTCAACTTAAGGCTTCTAAGTTAAAATGTAAAAGGATAAGCAAGGAGTTAGCCAAAGAGAGACCTGTTGTTTCAGACAGAAAGAAAAGCATGTATGAGGGCCCAGAAATGAAAAAAAAGCAGTTCTAAAACCGGAATCTTTCAGTATGACTACTGGGTAGATAAAAATGATTTAGAAAAGAGGTTGTCAATAAAAGCAGTGTTTTGGTTTCAGAGTCTCATATGCAACACTAAGGAGAAGAGGAAGCACAAAAGGATTTGTAGGAGAAAGCATCCTGTCTACAATGTGAAGAATGGATTTTAGGAGGGTAAGACTGGAGGCAGGAAACTTTTTTATTAGGAAGCTTTTCTAATAAGCTAGCTGTAAGATGATGGTTGCTTGAACTAGGAAGTGTTAACAGAATGGCAGTGAGAAAGCAGTCCTTAGAGCTGCTTTCAAATAACTAGAGGCTGGTCAGTGAAAAACTGGCTAAACCTATACATACGGCTTTAAAAGTTATAGGTAGCACTAACAGAATTGACAAAGAAACAGATTTTGGCCCAATAAATATTTGTTTAAACATGAGTGAGTTGCTTGAGAAGGTTTTAAGTCCCTAACAACTTTGGGGAGAGTTCAAGATAAGACATTTTACAAGAAATACAAAATGTTGGAATTTTGAAATGCAGGCCAAGGTAGATTTCCAAACTCTGAGATTCTAAAAATCTACTGAATTTTCTTTCAGTGTGGTATTTCAGGGTACCCTCTATGTCTGATGGACAAAATGAAATACCCAAGATTAATTTATCAGAGGCTCTGCCTGCCTTCGCTACCTCTACTCCCACAACAAAAAACATACTTGCACATTTTAACATCACTTTATGTAAATATTTTAAACTGAATATCCACCTCTCATAATTCTGTCAACAAAACAGGCTGTTCACAACATACCTTAAATATCACTGAACTAGAACTATTATCATCATTCACATTAGCAACAAACCCCCAAACTGCAGCAACTATTACTGAGTACCTTCTTTTGTCTGCACCACGCCACACTATGTTCAATATTTCCCCTGTTAGTTATAACCTGAAAAGTAGGTTTTATTCTCATCTTAAAGATGAGGAAATAGACTAAGAAAGATTAAGAATTTTTTTAAGTCATAAAACTGGTTAGTTAGGAAAAGGAATTTGAACCCAGGCCTATCTGATTCTTATGCCATGCTTTTTTAACCACACACCAGTACCTTAGAAAGCATGAGGAAAGTTTTAAGGAAAAATAAAAAGTGACTATCATTTATTGTTTATCAAGTATCAGGCCCTTTACCTGCATTATTTAATTTCATTCATTTCTTCAGCTCATAATCAAACAATGCTTCACTTCAAAGAATGTCACAAAATTTGACTTAAAAGGCTGAGGATAGTTGCTGAACAAATGAAAATAATAATCTTCCAAAGTTGAAAAGTATTTGAGAGTTTTTAAGATGTTTTCACATCCATTAGTTCATGTAATCTTCTTAATAACCCTGTGAAGCAGGTAGAGTGGGATTATCATCCCCATTTACAAATCAGAAAACCAAGGATTAGTGTCACACACTTACTAAACGGCAAAGTTGGCCTTCAAAGAATACAGGAGTTCTGACTTCTAGTCTAGTGTTCTACTACTTTACAGCACCTTCTTTGTCAGTGGGCAATGAAAGTAATATGTTGTCAGAAGAAAAGGAAAGAGGGAGCAAATGGAAAATGATGATAATAGGATTGAACACAGTAAGTTGCAATAACAAAATATGTAACAATACTTCAACAAAAACTGATAAAGGTATCAGGCTATCAATATTTAAATAAAATGCAGGATTTTAAAGAACTCTTAAGAAGTTAAGACTGACATTTATGTAGGAACTCGGAAAGCTGATTGAAAAATATTGCCATTAGTTTCATTTCTGAAATCCTAGTCCTGAAGTACACTATTTAGGGATGAAAACCAAATGCAGTACCAGGGTGACTCCTGTTATCTGACATCTTAATATTTTGGTTTTTATTTAGTTAAAAAAAAAAACAACTTAGAAAATCTTCAGGTTTAATTTCACTTCAGTATATCTCATGAATAATTTCTTTTGGGAAAATGCCACCAAATTCTGATTTACGGACAAAGGGGCTTTGTTTTAGCTCTAGATTTAATGAACTAATGAGAAGTAACTTGCAGCTTGGTTTCAGTCCCCATTCCTTATTGTGCTCATGTAATTAACCACCTTCTCCCTTTGGTTAGCTGAGTCTGTGGCCTCCTGATGAGGAGAGCCTGACATGAGAGCAAAGGGGAGCTGCATGGGCTCCTCAGGCAGACAAGAGCACAGGGCTCACCAGCTCAGGAGACAAGGGCACATGGAATTCTTCCCGAGTTACACTCTAATCCTGGGCGCAGTTAATTTCCCATACGTAACAGAAACACAAGAAAAATATCTTACCTAGCTCCAGGATGTCAGTAGCTTCTATTAAAGAAAAAAATGTTACAGCATAAGTCATCATGAAAAACACACCTAAATGATAGAACAGTGAGATTCTGGAGTAAAATGAGGGCTTGAGAGTTTGTGTAGTTCAATTCTCTCATTTTAAAAGATACTAAGTTTATTACTAGTGTTTGTGGAAGTATACCACTCAATTCCGCCTTATTAAAAACTGGAAATCCAGAGAGGCTAAACAACTGTACCTAAAGCTAATTTGGGATTGTTTGAACTCATAATCTACATTTCCTGATTTCATGCTCAAATCAAAGTATACTGCTTTTGACAGATACCTCTACAAACTATATTTGCTTGTGTTTTAACCAGAGAGTTCTTGATACACTCAGACCTCTAAAAAAAAAAAAGGCTCTGTGGTAAGAATGTCAAATTAAATTTTTCCATGCTAAATACAGCTTTTTTTCTTACCTTGATATTGGGATGCAGACTCTGATAGATGACCATATTTATGTTTTCTAACATCATTCCAGTCTATTACTGCAGGAAGAGAGAAAACAGTCATGTGGAAAGAAAGTAAAAGTTTCAATACTTCTCCAATTTAGCAGTATGTTGCAACAGTTTTTGAGAAAGTAATCTAATTTTGAGATTCTAGTCTAAGGAAATAACCCAAAGTACAGAAAAAGAGATTTTATTTTAAAAAACTTTAGTATTCTTTATAATAACAAAAAATTGGGATGGAAGGGGTACTTAGATGTTCAACACAGAAGACTGATTAAGATACTGAAATACATTTGTTATATGATGAAGTATTTTACAGCTGTTAAATTTTTACAAGTCTAAGTGGGGAAATGTTTTAGTTATAATGTTATCTGGTAAGATAAAGGATCAAAAAGTATATGCAAGGAATAATCGCAATTACATAAAAAACTGAAGACAAAGAACACCTATGTTATAGGCTGCATTGTGTTCTCCCAGAATTCATATTGAAGTAATCATTTCTCAATACCTCAGAAGGTGACTTTGGAAGTAGGGTCTATGAAGAAGTAAGTAAGTTAAAATGGAATCTAATTTTAGGGTGGACCCTAATCCAATATGACTGGTGTCCTTATAAGAAGAGGGAAATCTGGACAGAGACAATGATAGAGAAAAGACATGTGAAGACACAGGGGGAAAACAGACATTCACAGGCCAAAGGAAGAAAAAAAAAAACCCTGCTGACACCTTGATCTTGCACTTATACCCTCCAGAACTGTAAGAAAATGTCTGTTGTTTAAATCACCCAGTCTGTAGCCTTTGTTATAGAAGATCTATCCAGTAAACTAAAACAACCCTAAAAATTATCACTAGAAAAAAACAAAACAAAGCAAATATAAACAACAGGTTATCTTTGGGTGGTGGTACTGTTTTTCTCCCCTTTCTAATCTCAAATATTTCCAGATTTTTTAAATACAGAGTATGTATTACTTATATACTAGAAATATATTTTCCTTGCTTGAAAATTTAGATTCATCTACTCACCCCAGTACTTTATTACCATTATTTGCCCATCTTCTTTACCACCGAATGGTACCACTTTTTTTTTTTTTTTAACCATTATTTACCCATTTACCCACTTCCCTTCTTACCCAGCTCAGATTCTATGGTCCCTCACTAAAATCACTCCCTGGCCAATAGTCTTCAATTCCTTCCACCTGTTTTTTTTGTTGTTGTTGTTGTTAAACTTGACTACTAAAGCCTCAACCCTAACTTGGCTAAAACCACTTCTCTGCCTGTATTATGCCTACCCCAACAGATCACAAGTGCTAAAGAAAAACAAGTGGAAGCTTACTGGTCTCACCTTAAACTCATGGCTACAATGTCAATGCTACTTATCACTGTCTAGGAATCAAACCACATTTCCCTTCCATGTTTGCTTTTCTCCTTTCCAAAAATACAAATTCATGTATTTTTCTCTCTAATGCTGAAGAAGCTGAAGTTGAACGATTCTATGAAGACCTACAAGAATTCTTAGAACTCACACTAAAGAAAGATGTCCTCTTCATCATAGGGGCTAGAATGCAAAAGTAGGAAGTCAAGAAATACCTGAAATAACAGGCAAGTTTGGCCTTAGAGTACAAACTGAAGCAGGGCAAAGGCTAACAGAGTTTTGTTATAACAAACACCCTCTTCCACGAACACAAGAAATGACTATACATGGACATCACCAGATGGTCAGTAACAAAATTAGACTGATTTTATTTACTCTTTTTGCAGCTGAAGATGGTGTAGTTCTAGACAGTCAGCAAAAAAGACCTGGAGCTGACTGTGGCTCAAATCATTAGCTTCTTATTGCAAAATTCAGGCTCAAGTTGAGAAAGTAGGGAAAACCACTGGGCCATTCAATTATGACCTAAATCAAATCCCTTATGATTACACAGTAGAGGTGATGGATAGATTCAAGGGACCAGATCTGGCAGAGAGACTGCCTGAAGAACTATGGATGGAGGTTCCTAACACTGCACAGGAGGTGATGACCAAAACCATCCCCAAGAAAAAGAAATGAAAGAAGGCAAAGTGATTGTCTGAGGAGGGCTTACAAACAGCTGAGAAAGGAAAAGAAGCAAAAGACAAAGGAGAAAAGGGAAAGAGAAATTCTTTCGAGTTCAGAGGGTAAAGAATGCAGAGTTGCAGAGAACGGCAAGGAGACATAAAAAAGTCTTCTTAAGTGACCAATGCAAGGAAATAGAGGAAAACAACAGAATGGGAAAGACTAGCAATCTCTTTAAGAAAACTGGCGATACCAAGGGAACATTTTAGGCACAATAAAGGACAAAAACAGCAAGAACGTAACAGAAGCAGAAGAGGGTAAGAAAGGTGGCAAAAATACACTGTACAAATTAAGAACTGTACAAAAAAGCTCTTAAAGACCCAATTAACCACGATTATGTGGTCACTCACCAGACATCCTGGAGTGGGAGGTCAAGTGGGCCTCAGGAGCATTACTACGAACAATGCTAGTGGAGGTGATGGAATTCCAGTTGAAGTATTTAAAATCTTAAAAGATGATGTTGTTAAAGTGTTGCACTCATTATCCAGCAAATTTGGAAAACTCAGCAGTGACCACAGGACTGGAAAAAGGTCAGTTTTCATTTTAATCCCAAAGAAAAGCAATGCCAAAGAATGTTCAAATTACTGTATAATTGTACTCATTTCACATGCCAGCAAGATTTTACCTAAAATCCATCAAGTAAGGCTTCAGCAGTATATGAACTAAAAACTTCCAGATGTTCAAGCTGGATTTAGAAAAGGTAGAGGAACCAGAGATCAGATTGCCAACATATGCAGGATCATAGAAAAAGCAAGGGGATTCAAGAAAAACATCTGCTTCTGCTTCATTGACTACGCTAAAGACTTTGACTGTATAGATCACAACAAACTGTAATATTCTTTTTTTTTTTTTTAAACTGTAATATTCTTAAAGAGATGGGAATAACAGATCACCTTACCTGCCTCCTGAGAAACCTGTATGCAGGAAGAGAAGCAACAGTTAGAACCAGACATGGAACAACAAACTGGTTCAAAACTGGGAAAGGAGTATGTCAAAGCTGTATATTGTCACACTGATTATCCAACTTACATGCAGAATACATCATGCAAAATGCCAGGCTAGATGAATCACAAGCTGGAATCAATTATCGCTAGGAGAAATATCAACAACCTCAGATATGCAGATGATACCACTTTAATGGCAGAAAAGTGAAGAGGAACTAAATAGCCTCTTGATGAATGTGAAAGAGATGAGTGAAAAAGCTGGCTTAAAACACAGCATTCAAAAAACTAAGATCATGGAATCCAGTCCTATTACTTCATTGCAAACAGATGGGAAAAATGTGGAAACAGTATTGGATTTCATTTCTTGGGGCTCCAAAATCACTGCGTATGGTGACTGCAGCCACAAAACTAAAAGATGCTTACTCCTTGGAAGAATAGCTATATCAAACCTAGATAGTGCTTTAAAAAGCAGAGACATCACTTTGCCGACAAAGGACTGTCTAGTCAAAGCTATGGCTTTTCTAGCAGTCATGTATGGATGTGAGAATTGGACCATAAAGAAAGCTGAACACCAAAAAATTGACACTTTCGAACTGTGGTGCTGGAGAAGACCCTTGAGAGTCCCTTGGACTGCAAGGAGATCAAACCAGTCAATCCTAAAGGAAATCAGTCCTGAATATTCATTGGAAGGACTGATGCTGAAGCTGAAGCTACAACACTTTGGCCATCTGATGCGAAGAGCTGACTCACTGGAAAAAACTCTGATTTGGGTAAAACAGAGGGCAAGAAGACAAGCAGATGACAGAGGATGAGATGGTTGGATGGCATCACTGACTCAATGAACATGAGTTTGAGGAAACTCAGGAAGATAGTGATGGACAGAGAAGCCTGGTGTGCTACAGTTCATGGGGTCACAAAGAATCAGACACGACTGAGCAACTGAACTGAACTAGTGAATGAACAACAAGAACAACAACAATTTTTCACTTTCTTCATATTCCAAATATTCCCTCCTTAACCTTCACTCTTAGGGGATGACATTAATTCAGGGCTTATTGAGAACAACAAAAATAAGACATGAGAACCTTCTATATGCCACACATTTCAGGAAGATTCAGACTTAATCTTGTCTAGTGGTATGTCCTCAAAGCATAATATAGTAAGTAGCAGGTGTTCAGTTAATAATTGGTGATTTAATGAATCTACTTATTCATCATTCTTTCTGATTTTTCTCCTACTTCTGTGGATGAAACATCTCTGATTTTAAGCAACTGCCCACCCTACATTTTTGCTCCAGATCCCATTTCCTCTCATCTTCTTAAGGACTTTGCAAGTATTTCCTCTATAACAGACCATTTACATCAGTATTGTTATTGCTTTGTCACCTATCAAAACAAACACACGAAAACCCCCAAATAAATATGCTCTCCCCAACCCTCTCTTAATTTCACACATATGCTTCCTGCTATATCTTTCAATTTTTCTACTCTCTTTCATGGGAAAACTTATTTTAAGAGTTGTCTTAAAGGCAATGAATTATTGCCTCCTCACTTCCTCATATTATGTCCTCATTTTAAAGGTTTTTCTTTTTTTTGCTCACCACTCCACTATGATTACTTCCAAATTCATATTTCCAGCACTGGCCTCTACTTGGAATTCTATACTTACACATACAGTAGTTGTATATGTACTTCAGGCCTTCTCTACATGGTTTTCAATCAGATATTTCAAACTTAGCTAAAACAGAACACTGTTTGTCAAGCTGTTCTTCTTTTTGTCCTCCCCAAACCAGTAGCTGGCATCTCCATCACCTAGCTCTTCAAGCCAAAATCCTTGAAATTATCTTTGATCCCTATATTTCCTCTACATTCACATTCAATTCATCAGTAGGTTCTGTTGGGCCATATCCCAATCCATCCACTACTCAATCTCGTGACTCACAGTCTAGTTTGAGTCACTATTACCTCTTATCTGGACCATTACAAAGTCTGCTAACTTATGTTCCT